CGGGGCGCGCCGGGGTCACCCCCAGCCCTGGGCCCAACTCCCCAGTCCCAGGGGCCGCCCCTCAATTTCGGCCCGACCTTCTGACCCCAGACGCCTGCCACTTCCGCTCCCACGGGAGAGGCCTGGCTGCAGAAGGAGGGGCGGGGTCGCTGACTGCCCTTGCCCGGCGTGGGGGCGTGGGAACGTGTGTGTGGTGTGCGCCGCTGTGCTTGCTGAAAGGGTTGTGTGTGTGTCACTCAATGATGTGTCTGCCCTGGATGTGTATGTGTGCCTTTGGCTGGCCGGCTGGGACAAAGTGTGTTTTTGAGGGTGTGTGTATGATGTAACCTGCCCTCATACCCTGGGTCCTGGGCGTGGCCAGAACAGCACGAGCGAGGTAGCAGGGCTGCCTCCATTCCACAGGGCAGATGCTAGTCCTGCAGCGTGGTACAGAGTTCCTTGCTCGTTTACAATCTCTGCTACCCCTTCTCTCCAGTGTGCTTATTCCAGACCCTACCAGGCTCGGAGGGATGGTTAAGTCCAAGGCACTCGTGTGGTCCCTGCCAGAGGGACTCCAGGCCCTCTCCTGCTGTGCTAGGTACAAAGTGTTTGCATGCCAGGTATTATCTTGCATGACTCCAAATGATCGTGGGAGGTAAGCGCGTCATCCAAGCCTCATCCCTAGGGCGCTTTCTAAGGCTCCCAAGGGTGGCCCCTAAGTGTATTCAGCTGCAAATAATAATGTCATGTAATGGAGCAGACACAGCTCTGTGCTAAGCGCTACATATTTGTGTCTTCATTGTCACAAAAATTCTGTAAGCTTTGCATCCCGTTTCCCCATTATAGGAACCGAGGCCTAGAAAGCTTGAGGACCTTGCCCGGGGCGACCTGGTTCTGAAAGGGTTGGAACCAGGATCAGACCCAGGAATGTCTCACTATAACCACTCCTTATTGCATTCTTACTAAGCCAGGATTGTGACCTTTCCCTCACTGCAGGGACTCCTTCCCTCCTGAGACAGCCCCTGTACCTGGGAGGAGCATGAGTGGAGAGGTGGGCCTCCGTCTGGAAAGGGACTCTGATGTTTCCTCGTTAATCTTGACTCTAAATAGTTGGGGAGGTCTTTTTTTTTGAGTCAGAGTCTCATTCTGTTGCCCAGGCTGGAGTGCAGTGGCACGAGCATGGCTCGCCACAGCCTTGACCTCCTGGGCTCAGAAGATCCTTCCATTTCAGCTTCCCAAGCAGCTGAGACTACAAGTGCGCGCCACCACACCTGGCTAATTATTTTTTGTAGACACAGGGTCTTACTGTGTTTCCCAGGCTGATCTCAAACTCCTGAGTTCAAGCGATTCTCCTGTCTCGGCCTCCCAAAATGCTGGGATTATAGGTGTGAGCCCCCAACACCTAGCCTGGGAATGTCTTTAACAGGGCTCAAGTCTGTCTCTCCTGAATACTCACGCCTACCTGGGCTTGCTTCTCCTTGGAGTGAAGCCTAGATGGGTGGGCAAATGGGTCCTGGCAGAGGACCTTCCTGCCCCGACATGCTGTGGCCCTCCACTCCACCCACCCACCCAGAGCTACACAGATGCATGGGTGGTGGTTTTCCCCACCGATGAGTGAAGGAATCTTGCGGCCTTTGAGAGACCCGCCCACCCTGCCCCCCTTCTCACCTGATGGCGAAAGGGAGCTGTCTGGTGGACCAGCTCTGCATGTGGGTTCTCGGATTCCAGTGGGGCTGGGGCCACCAGGATTACTAGATAAAATTCGTGTTTGAAAAAAAGAAATAGACTGTTGTGAAACGCTCAAGCAATAAATGAATGAAGAATCTTTATTTTAAAATGGTGACATCCAAGATTCCCTTGTCTCTCTGCTAAGTCCCTGCCTCTGCAGAGGCTTCCAGGATGCCAGGAGCAACTGTGGCCAGCTTAGTCTGAGCCCTTCCAGCTCTCTCCCTGTGCATATACAAATATAGATGCGTCGTTTTGTCTGCTGGTGGGCTTTGCATAAATGGAATTGTCTTGGGTGTACTGTCCAGCAGCTTGCTTTGCTCACTTGACAACACATCCATTCTAGAATCACATTTGTGTGCACATTCAACACACAGCTCACTCACTCCTCACCCTCCTGCTCTGTCCATGGATCACAGATGCCCTCCAGCCACCAAGTCCATCTCTCCACTTCACTCTTTGCTTTTCACTTAACAGTTCCCTCTGGAGATCTTTCCAGCTAGTGCATAAAGAGTGTCTTCAGCCTTTTAAGTGGCTGCAATTGCTCCATTGGGTGGGTGAGGTGTAATTTAACCAGTCCTTTAATGATAGGCATTCCGTAGTTTCTAACACAAGGGCTGCAGGAATAACCTTGTCCTTGCATCATTACAAACACAACACACACACACACACACACACACACTGAGTAGGATAAATTCCTAGCAATGGGATTAATTGCTGAAGCAAAACTCATACACATTTTTCATTTTGATGTTGTCAAATGCCCCCTGCCGAGGTTGTACCATTTATTCCCCCACTAGCACTGCCCCTGTTAGTGGCTCCACTGCTATGTAGTATGCCACAGTATACAGGGGGGATCCAAAAGAACCCGGAATTATATTTTGGAGAGCAGGACCCATGTGGTACAGGCTTTCACCACTAGGTGAGTGTTCTAGGAACCTTTCAGCATCAGTGTACCAGCTAGCATTGTTGTGAGAAGCTGCATTCAGCTATAGTTAATTTTTTTTTTTTGAGTCAGAGTCTCACTCTGTGGCCTAGACTGGACTGCAGTGGCACGCTCCCGGCCACTGCAGCCTTGACCTGTTGGGCTCCAGTGATCCTTCCGCCTCAGCCTTCCAAGTAGCTGGAACTACAGGCGCGCGCTACCATGCCCGGCTAATTTTTTATCTATTGTAGAGACGAGGTCTTGCCAAGTTGCCCGGGCGGGTCTCGAACCCGCGGGCTCAGGAAATCCACTCGCCTCAGTCTCCCAAAGTGCTGGGATTACAGGCTGAGCCACCGAGCCCGGCCTCTTTTCTTTTGCGTTTCTTTTTTTTTTTTCTGTCAGTCTCACTCTGTTGCCCAGACTGAAGTGCACTGGCATGCTCACAGGCTCAGGTGATCCTTCCACTTCAGCCTTCCAAGTAGCTGAAACTACAGGCATGTGCCACCACACACAGCTAATTTTTTGATTTATTATAGAGATGAAGTCTTGCCAAGTTGCCCAGGTTGGTCTTGAACCTGTGGGCTCAGGCAATCCCTTTGCCTCTGCCTCCCAAAGTGCTGGGATTATAGTCATGAGCCACTGTGCCCGATGATAGGTGATTTTCGAAACCACCTGCCCACAGCACGCTGAGTATTCAGCAGGTTTGACCAAAAAACAGCATCACTCCTGGGCCCCACCCTTCCTATTCACCTGATCTCGCCCTTTGTGACTTTCTCTTGTTTTCCTGAATGAAGAAATTCCTCAAAGGGAAACATTTTGCTGATGTGGAAGAGGTGAAACAAAAAATGACAGAAGCACTAAAAGGCATCAAAATGGATGAGTTTAAAACCGGTTTTGAGCCATGGAAAAAGCCTCTCGATAGGTGTATTGCATCAAATGAAGAGTACTTTGAAGGTTTAAGCATGTAAGAATAAATACACATTTTTTAATAAATAAATTACAGGTTGTTTTTTTTTTTACCCCCACCCTCATACACCCACTTCTCATGATATTGCCAAGATAACGTGTTTAACATTAAACTTAATTTTGGCCAGGCTCGGTGGCTCAGCCTGTAATCCCAGCACTTTGGGAGGCTGAGGTGAAAGGATTGCCTGAGCTCAGGGGTTCAAGACCAGCCTGGACAACTTGGTGAGAACTTGTCTCTATAATAATCAAAAAATAAGCCAGGCATGGTAACACATGTCTATAGTTCTGGCTATTTGGAAGGCTGAGGCGGAAGGATCGCCGGAGCCCAGCAAGTCGAGGCTGCAGTGCCCGTGAGTGTGCCACAGCACTCCAGCCTGGCCTCAGAGTGAGACTCCAACTCAAAAACAAAAATAAAATAAATAATAAAATAAATAAAACAACTTGATTTTCTTTCAAGTCTCTCAAATAGGGGCTTCTCTCCCAGCTCAGGAAGTGAGACTGCCCTTTCTCCTCACTGCAGGAGCAAAGGCCGGACCCCTCCCTCACCTCGCACGTCCAGTCCATCTGATCTGTCCAGTCTGCCGCTGACCCCTCTCCATGCTCTGGAGCCCTTGACTTCCCCATCTCCATTCCCGCTCATACCCTCCTAGTCCAGGCCATCTTCTGCCCGTAATACTGTGCTGGCTTCCTAGCGCCTCGGCTCACATCCTGTTTTCAAATCCACCCTAAAAGCATGATGTTCCCCTGCCAGAAATCCTTCGGTACTGTCTTGGGAAAAAGTCCAGATTCTGTATATATTAATTGGGATTTGGCTCAGCTGTAATACAGAATAACAGCAGTCGAAATGAAATGGAAGTTTGTTTCTCTCCTCTGTAAGAAGCCTGGGGCAAGCAGGCCAGGGCTGGCCCAGTATCCACAGGTCAGGGCTCCAGTGTCTCCTCCTTGCTCTGCGGCATGTGCTACTTCCAGGTCCAAGATGGATGCTGGAGCGCCAATCATCAGGTCCGCATTCCAGCCTGCAGGAAGGGAGAACATGAGAAACCTAGGCCCGCCCTTTAATGACCTTGTCCTGGGAGTTGCGCACACACTTCTACTTATATCCTGCTAGCCATATGATGACACCTGGCTGCAAGGAATCTGGGAAAATGTCATCTGTTCCGGGTGTCCTTGGGCTCAGCTGAAAACCTTGAGTTCTCATCCTAGGAACAAAAGGGAGACCTGGGGTCAGGGACCACTGGCTACCTCGGCTTGTATACATGTGGTGCTCGTACAGCCCTCACCAGCCTTGTTTTTGGACACTTTTCACATTGCTTGGCTGCTACACTCATTCCCCAACTTGGTCTTGGGGAACACGAAGCATGTCCTTTTACCTCTTCCCTGTCCCTAGAACAGCCGTTACTGGACAGCAGCATCAATCTGGGAACTTGTTAGAAACGCAGTTTCTCTGTAAATGTCCTAGATAAATATAGTAGCATTCTGTTCACCCCTTTGCAAGTAAAAAGGGTGGACCATTCCACTACTGACATATAAATATTAAAAAATTAAAAAGGAAAAATATATTTTAAAATATAAAAAAAATAATTTGAAGAAAAAAAAAGAAATGCAGATTCTCAGCCAGGTGCATTGGCTCCTGCCTGAAATCCCAGCACTTCGGGAGGCGGTGGTGAGAGGATTGCATGAGCTCAGGGGTTCAAGACCAGCCTGAGCTGCATAGTGAGACCGCATCTCACAATAAATAAAAAGTCAACTGGGCATGGTGGTGATGCCTGTGGTTCCAGCTGCTTGGAGGGCTGAGGTGGAAGGATTGCCTGAGTCCAGCAGGTTGAGGCTGGCTCATGGTGGCTGTGAGTGTGGCACTGAACTCCAGGCTGGGCGCTGGAGTGAGACTCTGACTCAAGAAGGAAGGAGGGAGGGAAGGAAGGAAGGAAGGAAGGAAGGAAGAAAAAAAAGAAGAAAAGAAAGAAATGCAAATTTTCAGGCTTCACTCCAGACCTTCTGAGTCAGCTGCTCCGGGAGCAGGACCCAGCAGCGTATGTTGTAACAGGGCCTCTGGGCCATTCCATTGCTCAAGTGTGAGAACTACTGAACCAGAATGACGCTCCACATCACCTAGCCAACTCTGTCACTCCTTCCTGACTCAGTTTAGATACTGCCTCTTCCTGGAAGTCCTCTTTTGACGCACCAGCTTGGGAGAGAAGCCCATGCATGTCCCTGTTATAGGACTGTTCACCCTGTATGTGATTTTATGATTACGCATCTGCCTTTAATGGGTTGGAAGGTCCTGAGGGCAAGAACGCTGTCTAAATCATTGCTCTTCCCTACCACCCTCCTCATGCCAGGCTGGCTCTAGCTGCTCAGGAAGTGTTGAGTGAATGAAGAAGATTGCTTCTCATATCTGAGGGTGTACTCGGCCCACGGATTATGAGATGGGTTCATTTTCTTTACTGTGATTTTTAGGAACAAGCTGTGTTTTCAAACAGGTATTTATTTCTGTAGCTGTAAATTTCTGATTAGGACATGTATTTACATGTTTCAGAAATCAAAAAGTATGAAAGTTGCTGGGCACAGTGGCTCACAGCAGTAATCGAAGCACTTTGGGAGGCCAAGGTGAGAGGATTGCTTGAGCTCAGGAGTTCGAGACCAACCTGGGCAACATGGCGAGACCTCATCTCTACAAAAACTTAAAAAATTAGTTGGGCATGGTGGAGCGTGCCTATAGTCCCATCTACTCAGGAGGCAAAGGCGGAAGGATCCTTGAGCCCAGGAGGTCGAGACTGTAGTGAGCCGTGATTGTGCCACTACATTCCAGCCTGGGTGACAGAGTGAGACCTTGATTCAACAAAAACAAAAATATAAAAGTTGGCCGGACTAGGTGTCTCAGCCTGTAATCCCAGCACTTTGGGAGGTCGAGGCAAGAGGATTGCCTGAGCCTGTGGGTTTGAGACCCAGCTGGGCAACTTGGCAAGACCTCATCTCTACAATAAATAAAAAATTAGCCAGGCATGATAGCACGCGCTGTAGTTCCAGCTCCTTGGAAGGCTGAGGTGGAAGGATCGCCAGAGCCCAGCAGGTCGAAGCTGCGGTGGCCAGGAGCGTGCCACTGCACTCCAGTCTGGGCGACAGAGTAAGACTCCAACTAAAAAACATATAATTATATAAAAGTTAAAGTCTCCTTCCAACATTGTGTATCCTTCCAGAGACAGTTTATATGTATATAAACACACACACACACACACACACACACATTCTTTTTTAACATAAGAGCATTGTATGCACATTGTTCAATGTTTGCCTTTTTTAATTTTAATTTTCATTTCTTTTGAGTTGGCGTCTCACTCCATCACCCAAACTGAAGTGCAGTGGCACACTCATGGCCACCCCAGCGTCAACCTGCTGGGCTCAGGTAATGCTTCCGCCTCAGCTTTCTAAGTAGCTGGAAGTACAGGTGCGCGCTACCACACCTGGTTAATTTTTTATTTTTATTTTCTTTTTATTGTAGAGATGAGGTCTCACCAAACTGCTCAGGCTGTTCTCGAACCTGTGGGCTCAGGCAGTCCTCCCACCTCAGCCTCCCAAAGTGCTGGGATTACAGGCTTGGGCCACCGTGTCTGACCTGTCTTTTTTCTCTTAATGCACCCTGGAGATCATTCTACATCACTACATAGACAGCTTCTTGGTCCTTTTTCAGATCTGTGTAGTACTCCACCGTATGCTGTACCATGATGCTTTAACTAGCCGTCTCCTGCCACACATTTGGGGCAGTTCCTGTCTTTGCTGTTAGACACAGGCTCTGATGAATAGCCTTTCACTAGGTGACAATTTTGTGAGCAGTCTGACTGGAGGGTAAATTCCCAGAAGTGAGGCACCCATCAAGGGCGTGTGTTTTTGTCTTTTTTTTTTTTTTGAGTTGGAGTCTCAGTCTGTTGCCCAGACTGGAGTTCAGTGGCCGATCCCGGCCACCATAACCTCCACCTGCTGGGCTCCGG